GGAACGTTTTGTGTTAACATAGGCGCTGAAGTTTCAGGTACCTTTATTTGTGTTTCCCTTAGCTGCTCAACATGCCTTTTCCAGAGTCCTCTTTGATGTGTTTTTACAATGTAAGATAGTGGTCCCTTTATTTCAACAATGTCGGCCACAACCCACTTGTTTTTGTCCCTGTAGTCACTAGCAAGTACTTTTTGTCCCAATTTTGAAATCACGTTGTTTTCCTGCACTGACTCTCTGTTTCGTTTGTCTTTCAAGCACTCGTTGCTTTAGATCTGGTTTTATGAGGTCCAGTCGCGTTCTTAGGCGTCTGTTTAAGGATAGCTGTGCCGGGCACATGCCAGTTGTAGCGTGTGGTGTATTTCTGTACCGCATCGTGAAATTGTTTAATTTCAGCTGCTTAGCGACTTTGTCGAACTTGGCGGTTTTCAAAGCAATCTTAAACGTTTGTACCATGCGCTCTGCGAGGCCGTTCGTAGCAGGGTGGTACAGTGCTGAGGTTATATGTACAATACCGTTGCTTTTCAGGAATGTTTCAAACTCTGTGATGTGAATTGGGATCCATTATCAGATACCAGCGTTTTGCACAGGCCATATCGTGCAAATAGACTTCTTAGCAAACTAATGGTTTTAGTTGAGGATGTGTCTTTAGTAGCGAGCACTTCTGGCCACTTAGAGTGAGCGTCCACAACTACTAAATACATAACTCCGTCGATAGGACCTGCGTAATTAATGTGGATGCGGTCATAAACATTCTCAGGCCACTCCCATGGGTGTAGGGATGCTTTGGGCGGTTCTTTCATGTTAAGCTGACAACCAGGGTATGCTTTTGTTAATGCTTCAATATCGTGATCCATCCTTGGCCACCAACAGTAGCTCCTTGCAATCGATTTCATCTTTACAACACCGAGATGCCCTTGATGTAGTTCATTACATATTTCCTTGCGCAACTTTGGCGGTATGACTATTCTGTTACCCCACAGCACACATTCATCTATTAAGCTCAACTCATCTTTTCTACGAAAGTAGTGCTTCGAGCCCCTCGTTCCTTTCGTTAGGCCAGCCATTTCTCGTATAGTCTACCACTCGCGACAGAATTGAATCG